CAGGAATGACTACCTAATTTTCACAGCCCAGGTCAAAATGAAATGCAAGCCCTTTTTCCAAAAATGAAGAATTTCAAGATGGTAGAAACAGAGCTTTAAACCAAGTGTTAGATCCTCTGAGTAGAGTTCTCTGTGACTGTAGAGGTCACACAGTCACAAAGCTGGCATTATGGAGTTTTGAGTTTCTTCCATCCCTGTGGTTATTTATATATTTTTTCAGACAGATTTTTCCTAGGGTGCATGAAAGAAAGAAAGCAAGACATCACCCCCCCCCCAGGGGGGATGGCCATGCTACAATCCCTTCTCCTCCATTCTCTTTCAAGAATTTTGGCACACATGCACACATGTCTGCCGTAGGTTTTAAGCCACCAGGTCCAAGATTCAAACCATGGTCACCTACGTGGGAGTTCAGTGACATAACCATTATACCATCTGTTGCTCTCTGCTGTTGTTATTTCTAAATTCTGGGCGATGTATATAGTGCATTGTGGAGAAGTGGAAGTGGCATCTACCTTTTGATGTCGCCTTCCATGCTATCTGCTAAGAATGCCAGTGTTCTGGCCCTTCCTCATTGGTCCAACTAGGATGCTTCATTCTCATCTACGAGACCCTTGTACCTTTTGCCACTGTTGCTCCAGTGCATGAGGGAAGAGCTTTTGGTTTGCCTCAGACCAAAGAATGTCTATCTAGGGCTGTTGCTCCCCCATGAAACTCAGTCTGGAGAAAACACCAACTTTAACTGTGAAGACTCACAATTCCTATACACTCATTTTTCTCTCTGCCTTCTTCCCGCTATGCAACTTGGAGCAGTTTCACCTTGTCTCAGGTCCTGGAGATTTGTATCTTATTCAAGTTTGTTCTATACCCTGAGTCTTTTACTTTTCTCTGTAAGGCCCAAGGTATTGGACCACAAAAGCTAGAAAGAGGTTCCCTTGAGGACCAGCAGTTGGTGTAATGGTTACATCACTAGACTCCCATGTAGTCTACTGTAGCTCGGGTCCCGGATCGGCAGCTTAAAACTCACACCAGCTGCGTTTATGTGCATGCCCAAAATCCCAAGAGGAGACTGGAGGAGAAGGGAATGCTGTGTGACCATCCCCCTTGGGGGGTGATTTCTCATTTTCTGTCTCACTGTCTCTCTGGCAAGTGCACATACTCTATATCAAAAATCTTTCTTAAAAAAAGAAAGGAAGAAAGAGGTTCAATTCTCTCTCTTCATTGTGCTTATGGCATTTCTTGAAATAAGAATGTTTAACAGTAAAATTGTCCCAGTGTATGGCAAATTATGAAGTTGATAGGGGAGGAGGATGGGAGGTGAGAGTGAAATACTGGAAAGAAGAAAACTTGGTTGATATTTTAAATACATTGTACACCTACATATGATATTCCTAGTGTTCCAAAGAATATGAGTGTGAACCCAGCAGGGGTAGCAAACTCACTGCCCCCTTAGATACTCTATTCCATTTTTAGGAACTTTTACTACCTTCAATAATTCCTTTGTTTTTTCCAAAGATTGAAGTGAAGAAGTGTACACACGTACACACACACATGCATGTACAGTGATTACTATGCCCCAGACCTTCTTCCAAGTGCTTTACACCAACTCATATTGACTGATTTAATCTTTCTAAGAAGCCCAACAAGCAAGAGGTATTATTATTTCCACTGTATGGATAAGGAGAGTGAGCTACTAAGATGTGAGAGATTACTCAAGGTTACATCTGGAAGGATTGGTAGATCCAAG